CCCCGCCCAATTTTCAGGATTTCAATTTTGTGATGAACTGCATACGGATTTTAGACCTCTTTACGTTCATGAAACTTTCAGTGGGCAGAATTAAATATGGCAAAAAGAGTAACCACCATGGCAGTTGGGTACCGCCCCTTCTCTGGCAAATTTCAGATCCCTTGTACCCCACCCAGAACCATCTGGGGTGTACCACATGTACTTCCTGTGCTATTTTATTGGAGGAAAATGATTTTTTTCAAACAGCCATCCCCCCCCCCCACCCACCCCCCTGCCCTTCTACATAGCTAAGCCATTGGGGGGGCAATAGTTGTTGCTCTCCACCACATGTCACAGTCTACTGGGACACAGGCCCTGGATCCCCCTGTGGGTGGGCAGTGCCCAGGTACTGCACCACTTTCTGACCAAAACCAAGTACATAGTAACACATCTGGAACCACTGTGTGGGTGCAAGGTGGATGTGAGGCATACTTGCTGCAGGTACTGAATTGTTGGATATGCTTATAGCCAGTATGTATTCTGTATGCTTCTATCAAAACGTATCTTCTATATAGTTACAACTGTCTTCCATCCATTCCAAGCTAGCTTCCTTACTGAATATTAACTACATTCATCTTTTGTGTCCAGTCACTTTCACAAGAACCAGCATCTGTGACTTTCAGTTCCCTTACAACCTGGTCCACCTCAACATGAATGACTATCTTTACCTCAGGTATGTTTCATGCCAAATCTTAAATTATTCCCATGTCTTGTTCACTCCCCATATGGATAAAATAATTCTCCCTGTCTCATCCTCTTGATCAGAATATCCAAGCCTCTCTCTGTTTCAGACTAAATCCTTATCTTAGATTGGACCTTTCTTGTTTCAATCTCATTCTGGTATTATGTTAGTACCACACTAAATTAGGTCACATTGTTCATAATCACAAGTTTCTACCTGGCCCATCCTGTGCTTTGATTTTTTTTCTGATCATTTTCTAACCACAAGCTTGCTGTCCCCCAGAATTTTGTATGTAAGGAGCTTTTTGTCTCATAATTTTTTTCCCATCAGATCCTGACCTAGCAATCCAGAAAACTGATCACCAATTATTAGCTGGGTATATGTCTATAAAAATTTGGGATACCTTGATTTGTGAACAAGTATTATTCAGACCAGTAAACATAATAACATCAGACATACCTATCTGGAGAAATACCTGGTGGCTTTTCTCTGCCCATTGGGTTGCCAATCAGCCTCCTCACCGGCGACCTGATTGGTCTCTCCAAGGTTTCCAGCAGTCCTCTTTGGCGGTAGAGACAAGCAATTTTTCTGAAAGTCTATACCTGGCTGCCAAGAGGTATTCCTGCTTGGAAACAGGGAGAGGCAAAAACTGGTTTGTCTCTACCAGGTCACCAAGGAACCCTGCCTGGCAACCTGATTTGTTTGTCCCAGGTAGCTGAAGAGGAATGCCTCTCAGGGACCTGGTAGAGACACCCACAACCCACCTGGTTGACAGCTTTTGTCTCTACTGGTTCACTGAGGATGGAGTTTGGGGACATGTACCTATAAAGGTACCCAGGTACTGCCTCTTCTTCTTACAAAAAGAGACATCCAGGGCTGGTGTGCCAGATACCTAGCCACAGGTCCAAATCAACATACCTTACTTCAATATCCACATTCCCCAAGTCTTCTGTGGTGAAGGTGACATTTTCAGCTGTTCAAGGAGGCACCAGAGAGGCTGCTTGAGGAAGGTGTGCTTCATCTGGTTCATCACCAGATCTTTCTGAGAGCAGATCCAAAGTTGTAAATGAAGGGGGTATTAAGGGTCACAAGGAACTGGTCTTGTTTGACATTCAATTCTATGTCAGAAGATTTTGGTGCAGCTTCTGTTGCACTTTTTAAATATATGTGAAGGGAATATTTTCTTATTGGGGATTTTGCCTGATAAATCTGTATGTCCTACCACACAAGACAAAAATCACAAGTTAGTTAGCAGAGATTTATTGAAACCCCATCCAATCTTTATTGTTGAGGTCCGCCCATACTTGGTGGTCCACTTACTCCCATCAGGGAAATAGGGATACCTGACTTTGGGTGCTGGGTACTGCAAGGTCATCCTTATGGTGAAATGTAAAATTTATAAATGTGCACAGAGTTTTGGGTAGCACTGAGCAGGAAAGACTTATATGAAACTAAGGCCAAAATGGTTTTTGGATTCCCAATATGGGGGCACATTCTTGGTCCTGTCCACCACTAAAGCTGAACATGAAGTATTGATTCCACATTAGTTGACATCATGTTCAGTGTTGGGGATTGGTAGAAGCTAGATCAAGGGTTTAGGGAATAAACATCACAAAATGCTGCCCTAAAGTCCAAACATGCCAAAAAAAATTACCTGTTTTTGCTGATATGAAAAAAAAAATTAAACATTCATGTTGATATGTATCCAAGACATCCCAGATTTTTGTTTGATATCCTGGGAGGATAGCTGCAAGCCAAGTTTAGTGAAAATCTCTTGTAAAAATGACTCAGACAGGCCCAAATTGTAAATTTGAAAACATTGGATGACTTCCCAGTACAATCTACAACTATCACAGAGGTCATTTTACACCCCTTAGATCTGAATTTTTGATTGAAAAAACTGGAGGACTTTCTGTCACCATTTAGAGTGTTTTTAGACCCCCCCCCCCTGAAGTTGTAAATCAATAATTCAATCCAAACTAAGGCCAGCTCACCTGACAGCCTTCACAACAAGGCTTATCAAAAAGTATTTCTCTTTGCCAAAAATTAAGATTCAAGTGGTGTAAATCGAGTTCTGGAAGGGTTCTAAATTCCGACAGGAAGTCATACAATAATTGTCCAGAAGCCTTTCAGTAATGGCTCTCATGTGAGCTGGTTGTAATGTTGATTGTGTTGTTGATTTAGTAAATACTTCAAAGGCCTCACAAGCACTCTAAATAATGATAGGAAGAGTGCTCCATTCTACACATTTCCCATGTCTTGCAAATTATGTGTTGCAATTTTCTGAATATGCCACGCAGCGTGATGATAAGTCTTCTACTCAGGGTTTTCACTGGCTGTCAATACCCAATCCCTGTGCTATCTGGTCAAAACCAACATCACACAAACATTTATGTTTGCCAAGATTTTTTTTTGAAAAATGAAATAGGTTTCGCATTTGTTTTAATTGTAATACAATACTCATACATAATAATACATAGTGTGAGTGATCAAAATAAAGCATGATTGAAAAAGTATACCATTTTCATAGGGCCCTATTTTTATTCACTCAAAGTGAACCGGATCCTCATCAAATGGTCTAGTGATTGTTTTCTACATTATAGTCGAGATGGGACCAACAGTAAAATTTTATGGAACCGATCGATTGGGTTCGAAACTTCATGAAGAGCGCAACCCAGGTGATCCGAGTCAGAACATGAATAAGAAGAAGAGGGGAACGGAACAACGTGTCAAGGGCCAGAGAATTAAAAAACACTAACTTTGGTCTCGCACCTGAAACGACCGACTGCAGATCCGGATTGGGGTTCGAGCGAGAGTGGTGCGGGCGAGGGCCACGAGGATGGCGAGCATCCAGAAACTGCTGTAGGTCTTCAAATGCCTTCAATCCTAACTTTGATGGTAACCCAATCGGGGCACCCGCCATTGGCCCTCCAGACAACCCTTCGGATGTCGAGGAGGTCCTCCCAACATGATGGTGTTTTAAGATTTTTGCTTGCTCGGGAAATTTGATGTTTGAGTCCCGAAGGTTGGGGCTGTTTTGCTTGTTGTGTGGTTGGGATGGATGCGAGTTACGATTGTCGATGAATGTCAGAGACGTTACTTTCAAGTTTTCGGCCGCATGAATTGAAGCGATTTCTTCCTCCACTTCGACATTCCTATTTTCTCCATCAAAACGATCATGATCATTGTCGTCACCCATGTCGCTCCCTTCCGCTTCAGAGGCCTCAATCTCCGTTTCAACGAAATCCGGGAAGTGGATCGTTTGTGGCCCTTTCTTAGATCGTCTTCTTGGACAACTTGGATTTCCAGAGCCGACACTTTGTCCAAGACCATATCCACTCAAAGCCGAGTCGCGCGTCTTCTGCGAATTTAGAATAAACTTCTGCTCCAATCTCAACCTGTCGTTCACTTTGTGCTGTAAGCTGCAAACTTTGAATTCGTTAAACAAGAAGTGATCCCGCAAGAACAAGTCAAGTTGATTGAGCTTTGACCCTGCAACTAGAACATTGCATTGTTGAGACCTACAGATTGAAATGGTATGTAACTTCGACACAAACCCATCGAATCCAGCATAGAGGGTATTCATTCTCTCAAAATCGATGCCTCCTTTGCCGCCCAGAACTAATCTCGAAAGGATCAACCAAGACGAATGAGCACCAAGCACAATAGACACATAATGGGACTTGAGGTACTTACGCAGGCAGATACACAACACCATGAAAGTGACTAAAGTGACGAGGAACATAGTTCTAACAAACCATTTTAGGCGAAAGTGGTTTGACGGAAAGAAAGGAAAAGACCAAAGCAAGACTAGTCAGGCCAATTTGTGCGCATGTCTATCTCAGATTTTGTATGAAGAGACCAGTTCTTTATAACTTACTCAAACATGACCATGATTCCCAACGAAATTCTTCCATCTGCTGCTCCAAATCTGCAGCGCTTACGGGAATCCAAGACGTTGAACATCAAGACTGAGGATATCAAAAGATCCCACACGAATGGGGGACCTAACCAAGCCAACTGAAGGAGATCTAGTCGGATCCTATGAAGACCGATCAATCTGAAATAATCGCTGAGATCATGGACGAATTCTTCAAGCGTTTGGTCCTCGCTCCCACTGTGAGTAAAGACGACTTTGATTTGATCATAGTCAAGCAAATGAGATCCGACCAGAACTGACTGAAAAATCAATCCACACAGACTGATTATAAGGAGAACTAATGAACTGATTAAGAACAGCTTCGGTGCTCTTAACATAGTCGATGCTAAGCGAGCAAAATAAACTCTGGTGCCTGTGGAAATCAGGCTGAATTCACCAAGCGCAAACGTCAAAAAGGTTTAAAAAACAATTGACATCAGCGTCGGATCTCGCCGAGAAGAAAAAAAAACATTGAGGATTGAATGGGCAGTGAGCCGAGATGGATCTCACTAGTTTATGACAAGTAAGTTTGATAGTGGCCAACTATATACCCGAGTTAAGCCTGTGTCAACTAAGGTATGATGGGCCAGAGATTTAAATACCTTGAAACATCCCATTTTCCAAAGCATACGAAGAGGGAGAGAGAAAAAATGATACATTAGTAAACGCTTCTGGACGCCTTCCACAGCAATAGAATAAATGTATGAACAAACAAAGACAGCGTGACGACTCACAAGTATTTCAAGGGCCATACTGAACAAGTTTGCAATAAGGATAAAAAAGACGATCACATTGAATTTATCATTTAAAAATTCGAATTGTTGTTGGAAGATATTCAAGCGACTGAACCAATGCCGCTTGTCGGAAGGATGATTGTGATGGTCATCAGCTCTAATGTCGAAGAAATCGGCCTGGTAATTGTTATTAAAGGGCGATGAAGGATCAGGTAAATGAGGAGTTTTGAGGTCAAGTTCCTGATGATGATGATGATCAGCTCTTTGATTTTCTAACTGGCCAACAACGACTTGCGTCCCGATGTGATGGTGATTTTTTCGGTCACCTGAGGCTGCCGTATATCCAATCTTCTTGGGCTGCTCTTGGAAGTGATTATTTTGATGATGATAAGTACTGGTGGAAAGAGACCTTTGTTTTTGAACTTCGTTGAGGATTTGGTTTTGGGCTTGCGTTTGAATGAACATCTTCGTGTTCAAATAGTTGATGAATTGATATGTCAAGCATCCTGCTAACCCACTCGAGAGCGGCTGTATGTATCAATCAAAATGACCAGGTTTTGGGACCGTCAGTTCTCCCTCTCATTCAAGCTTCTGCATGTTATGTATCCAATATTTCGAAAGGAGGAAGGCCCTTTACGAGGCCGCAGGGGGGAAAAGAGATACCCTTACCACCACAATAGATAAGAACCCAACACTCAGTTTATTCAAACTGGCATAGTTAATTACGTTAATCTTGGCTTGGTCCATTTTTGCTACATAGTGATCTATGTAAGAAGGAGCAAACGAAGAAAAAAAAACTGCTCAGGCTTTAAAGTAAGGAAAAGGAACTGTCAAGATGCCAAAAGAGCCACACGGGCACCCACATGTTTCCCACTGCGACAAGTTGCTAGCTATGGATCACTAGATTTTTCCGCTTCCTGTGTGTTGCTTTGCGGGGTTTCCGAGCTCGAACAGTGATCCCTATACCAAAGAGTTCAAAACAGTGAGAATCGTCAGAGATGACTGTGGTGATGTATTTATATAAAAAGGAATCAAAGCAACAAGGATAAAAACTCACGAAGGATCCGGATAGCCCACAACTCAGTTTTCTGTTAATGACTAGCAATTCGAAAGATGAAAAGCGGACACTGACATCCCCCGATGATAGACAATGATAAATAAGGCCCCACAACAGGGAGCAAGATTCGAAAGAATCCGCAAATTATTAAATGAGATTGAAAGAAGTGTATCTACGTAGCCTTATCTAGCTGGCTATGTATGATCTGGATATATAAATTGGCTGTATGCTCAGGCGAATTATGCTACTTTCGATCAAGGCTATGTGTGACAAAGCATCTCGCACTTAAGCAGTCTCCGAATTCGCTCGGCTTCAAGAGCTTGACACTGTGTCCCTTCGAAAAAGTACGTATGCGTATTCATTGTTTAATGAATACATTCCAACTGAAGTTTGACTTCAGTGACCCGATTATTGAGATAATGTGAGATTCATATAATCCTTTTGACTTGAATACTTAATGTCCAATAAATAGACGTGTTCATTAAATTGGGTTGAAGGGGGTTTCATTGATCAAAATTACAATTATCAAGGACTTGAGAGCGGTAAGAGCTGTGTAGCCCCGAGTAAGAAATATAATAGAGTCTGATCTGATTAAATGGGCATCCATTCTCTCCAACCTTCAGGATTGATGCGAATTCGATTATAGGTCTGGGTTGAGGTCCAGATCGAACAGATCGTCCTCGGCATCGGGCAGTGGGGGTGGAGGTGGCCGTCTCGAAGGCATGGTTGGATAAGCAGCCAGATGCGGATTGATTTGATTCTGAGTCGGTCGGGCTAAGATAGCAAAAAAACAATAACAGTAGGACAGTCAGATCGTCGAGTCTCGTGAGTATCCCTCCACATATTTTCCGGGGTATATGTGAGAGAATGTGATCAGAAGCTCATGAAAATTACCTCCATCTGCCGTCCTGATCTCCCCAAGGAGCGCGCCGATCTCAGTTCCGCCGTTCAGGGGATCATTTGCGCCATTGACGGGGGCGGACATCTCTTGGCCCATCCTGCCGCGTCTGATGACGTCTTCCGTGGGGAAGGGCATCAGGAATCGTAAGCTTGGATCCTGCAAATCTAAACCGGAGGAAGGATTGATCGGCTGGTCTTGATCGGCTGTCGATGGCGCCGGCGGGGCTGAGGTATATGGGGCGATCAATCGCGCGTATGACATGATGTGACCGGGTGTCAAAGCCACTGTTAACACAATCGGATTGGAGGGAACAGAGATCCGATTAGCCAAAGGTATTTTTTATCGGGAAAATCAACTTAAATGCCCAGTCAAAGAGAAGATGCTATGGCTACAAGGCCGATCAAGCAACCAAGCTCTTTCATCGACTAGACCCAAGCATTAATTCTGAGGGGGAAAACAAGGGGAACACAAAATTCACGCTGATTTAATTCTGCAAACCGATTCTTCTCATTTTGACCATCCGAACAGATGAGATCGAGTTTATTTTTGATAGAAAAGATTTGATCTAATTTCTTTTTGAACTGATTTGAATTCAAGCTGTTTAAGGTGAGATAAAGGTTTTGGATTTTTTTGGAATTGCGATCATGTTGAGAGTTGATTTCTAGTAATTTGTACAGATAGATTTCCAACTGGATGATCTCCTGGAGGACTGTTATCTCTGGATTCGTCTGATTTGAGTTGATTGTTGATGAAGAAGAGGATAGTGAGGAGGAAGAGGAGGAGGCAATCTGCGTGAAGACGGTCTGGGTGATCCGATTGAATTGGTTCAAGAATACTTCGAACTGATTCGTCAATGGCTGATGGTCGTTGGGTGGCGGGATACCGAGCAGGTGGTGGTGGTGGTGGTTCGTTTCTTGGTTCATCTCTTCCTGCCTGTTGACCGCCTGCAAAGTCGATCGGAAGCGAGAAGGGTGTTTCCTGGAGTTGGCGCTGTGTTACGAGTCGCGCGTGCGGGCGGGGGCAGTTGGGCGGGCCTGGGCCCTCGACTGGACTCTCATGGAAGCTGTTGTAGTGAGTGTGCAAACTCCACATTTGGAGTGTCAGGGGTAGAAGAGGAGGGCCGGGTGAAGCAATGATCACAAACTCAAGGATTCTGACTACATAAATATCGAACTTATCGCAAGTCTCCAGCTGCGGCGGGCGCATCTGGCAGCGTAGCGCTGGCCAGGCGGTTCCCGAAGGGAACTCCCCGCAGGGGAGACCTGGGCCAGAGGTCGACAAACTCAGGTGCTGAGTTTCTGGTGTTTTGGTGGGAGCGTCACAAGATTTGAAATCATGACGCTCCCTCAAAACTTTTTTGATGTTTGGTCTCGAATTTTTCAAGACCTGCCTGATCTTATTGATCAGGCCAAATTTCAAAATTTTAAAATCACAAAAGTAATCAATATTGATTTTCTAAAATCAACGTTTGAACTTTTTTTACGCTCACATAAGCAGCTTAATGAACTCGCGCACACCAAAAAAAACTCAACTTTTGTTGAAAAGTTGTCATTTTCAAAAATAACTATATCAAAATTGACAAAATTAAAAAATAATGTGAGGAGAGGGAAACATTTACAAGAAGCAGGCCCTCCTTGGTCCACATGGAAATTAGATAATAGTGGAAGAGGAAGAGCATAGGTAGAAAAATGCACAAAAAACTGGCTTTTAAGCCCAAATTTGAAAACTCAGCACGCGGGGATTGCCGCATCTGTCTTAGGCCTCCACTGGCGTGGACAGCTCCGCTGCTCGCTCCCGCCGTGGAGGCCTAGTTAGCCTCGCATTAATATCGAGCTTAACATAGTCCTCCACTGCAGGAGCGGTAGCGAGCAGCGGAGCTGTCCACGCCAGTGGAGGCCTATGACCAATGTCGCAAGGCCCGCGTGGTGAGTTTTCAGAATTCGACTGAAAACTCACTTTTTGGGGGGTTTTCCACTCTAAGCACTCCCTTAATCATACTCATCTAATTTCCTCCTGGGACAGGGGAGGCCTGTGTCTTGCTCATATTTCCCTGTGTTCAGTTTTTTGGTTATGCTTGTTAATCATTTATAAAAAGTTTTTGAAAAGGTTGACTTTTCAACTCAACTTGGCTTCTTTTGGTGGGCCCAAGTTGAGCAAAGCCCGCATTTGAGCTCAAAAAAAGTTCAAATCTTAATTTTAGAAATTCATTATTAATTACAGTTTCGAGGTGCAACTTCTAAGTTTTGGCCTGATCAACAAGATCAGGCAGGTCTTTAAAAATTCCAGACCAAACATCAAGAAAGTTTTGAGGGAGCATCGTGATTCCAAATCTTATGATGCTCCCACCAAAACGCCTCAAACTCAGCAAGCAAGTCAGGCAACTTTTGTCCCAAGTCTCCCCTGCAGGGAGTTCCCTTCGGGAACCGCCTGGCCAGCGCTACGCTGCCAGATGCGCCCCCCACAGCCTGAGACTTGCGACAAGTTCGCATAAATATGTACGACAGAAGCAGCACTGGGTCTATACTATACTTTACTATAACTGACCCTTTTCAGAATAGTAAAGTTTCCTCAAATTTCTATTTACTATACCAATACTATAACCAGTGTGTTTCCCACCAAGCTTGGTATAGTATAGGCCACTTTTTTTGGCTCCAAAATTCACCTATATTGCAACCGCCTTGTCTTTATCAACCATGAAGTGTATCTATGAACTCCAGAGGGCCCTTCTATGGTCAAGAGACTCTCACAAGTAGCTTTAGATGTTTTTAGCAGCATCCAGGGCAGGTTATAGTAGAGTATATCACCCAAAAGAATTTCCTGTTCTCCTCAGTTATAGTAAAGGGCCCTGAAAATCAGACTATAACCACACCCTTTATAGTAAAGTTGGAAATATATATACTATAACAACCAATAACCGTAAAGTATAGACCCAGTGTTGACAGAAGCTAAACCAGCAGGGCCAGATCAAAACAATTAACTGCAAAACTCATTGATAGAACAGACCATTCAAAATCAGATTGATGACTGTTTTTAGCCTCTGATACATACTAGAGCATCATTTTTGTTTTTCTGGTTTTCATTACAACATCTTACGCTGGAAATGACCGTAAAGCTGACATCAATCCCGGCAATCCTCACCCAGATTAATTAGTAACCATGTACAGTGGGTAGACAGTGAAAATTGGCAGCTTATTTTGGATTCCAGAGCTCTGAAACACAAACTTGAAATCATGAGACTTGATCAGGTGGTGCATAATAGGTCCCAAAAAATGAATATGAAATAATAAGAGCAAAAAAAATAAAGTTTCAAAATTTGTGAAAAATGCAAAACCAAACTGATTTTTTTTCAAAAGCTTTGAGATTCATTTTGGGGGAGTGGGAGTGCTGAGAGAAAGAAAGAATGGAATGGGGGAAGAATAATTATAAATGAAAACATTGGAACCAAAAAAGGTTTAGCCAGGTTGGTTGTCCAGATTGGAGCCAAAACAGTAAATTCTAGTGCTTTACTGCAATGTGGGCTGGTGAATGCCCCACTCCATAGCTGTTTGAAGCCATCTGAAAGCCAGTTTTTCTAAAATTTTCATTTATAATCATTCTTCTCACTTCCCAATCTTTATTTCTCTCAGCACTTCCACTCCCCCAAAATGAATATTAAAGATGGCCCCATGGGACCCGGGTACCTGTTGATACCCGGGTACCAACTGCTTTTTTTGGCCAAAACAGACACCGGGTACCACACCCGCTCAAGTATGACGGGTACCGGCGGTACTCCCGGCGGGTACCGCCCAGCTGCCAGAGCTTCTTCCACAAAATCTGGTTGAGAGCAAGCAGGTTGCCAAGGAGGGTCCTTACCAGCGACCTGATTGGTCTTGATCAGGTTGTCAAGGAGGGGTCCTCTCCAGCAACCTGGCTGAGACCAGTTAGTCTTGGTCAAGCCACCAAGGAGGGGGTTTGGGGGCGGGCACCCTTCAAGGTACCAGGGTACCGCCTGCTTTTTTTCCCAAAAGCAGGCACCAAGTACCGCACCCGGGGCCTGTTGGCAGGTACCAGAGGAGTGGAGGCGGTACCCGCCAACGGGTCCCGGGTACCGCCCAAGGGGTACTGCAAGGCCATCTTTAATGAATATCAAAGCTTTTGAAAAAAATCAATTTTGTTTTTCATTTTTCACAAATTTTGAAACTTTATTTTTTGCTTTCATTTTTTCATATTCATTTTTTGGGAACTATTATGCACCACCTGACTAGAGATGGGCGATTTGCATCCGGATATCCGGCTGCTTTTTCCGGCCATCCAGGCATCCGCATCCGCACCCGCACCCGCTGGCGGGTATCCGTCGGCCGCAGCGGGTATCCTCGGATACCCGCCCTCTAAAGGGTCGGCGACGGACCGGCTGGAAGGATTTCCTTCTGGCCGGCGAGGTACTTGTACCTCGACAGCTGGAAGGAGACCCTTCCGGTCGACGAGGTACAGACCCTTGACAGAAAAAATGGAACCCTTTAATTGGAGTCTAGAGGGCAAACCACTGGAACTGAATTTATGCTTCTTGGTGAAACTGTGGAGAATGTGTTCCAAAGAACGATTCTGAAAAACTGGAATGGAAAATTTTTTGTAAAAATTTTGTATGTTTTTCCTCATTTTATGATTTTTTTGGTGTTCTTAAATCATTTTTCAAAGTAGCTCAGAGAATTATGATCAACACAATTGCATGTGAAAAGAATGATTATAAATGAAAAATTGAGAAAAATCAATGATCCAAAGTTTAGAGAGTTGAAGAAGTTGGATTGACATTGAAATTGAATTCAATTTCAGTGCCTGATTGCAGGGTTGGTCTGGTGGATGACACAATCCAAACATGCTTAAAAAAGCTGTTGATCATTTTTTTTTTTTTTTTTTTCATTTATAATCATTCTTTTCACATGCAATTGCATTGATCATAATTTTATGAGCTACTTTGAAAAATGATTGAAAAATACCCAAAAAATCAGAAAATGGGGAAAAACATACAAAATTTTTACAAAATGTTTTCCATTTCAATTTGTCAGAATCATTCTTTAGAACTCATTCTCCACAGTCTCTCCCATGAAGCACAAATTGAGGTCCATTGGTTGCGCCCTCTAGACTCCCAGATTAAGGGGTTCCATCTTTTATGTCAAGGGGCTGTACATGTACCTCCACGGCTGGAAGGATGTCCTCGCAGCCGGTCCGTCGTCGACCCTTTAGAGGGCGGGTATCCTTTGGGATACCCAGATACCCGCCAACGATTTGCGGAAAAGGGGCCATCCGCACCCGAATCCGCACCCGCTGGCCCTGGCGGGTATCCGCCAGCGGATAGCGGGTATCCGCGACGGATACCCTTCGACCATCTCTACACCTGACCAAGTCTCATGATTTCAAATTTGTGTTTTGGAGCTCTGGAATCCAAAACAAGCAGCCACTTTTCACTGTCTACCCACTGTACACTATGGAGGTACTGAACAGCCACTTTGGCCAAAAAAAATGAAAAATGAAAAACCCAATTTTCAAACAAATATGAGTGATTCCAACCGCCAAGTTGGCCAAGTGGATCTGTCATGTATGTCATACACCCTGACAATACATCTCAAACATTCCAATACATACAAACTATGTGATAAGCTCCCTGGAGCCAAAGTACCTACCATCCTCAACGCATAACACATACACCACAGCTCTTTGACCGATGAATCAGCTGGCAACCGAGCTCAAGAAACACTCTTCTCACTAACTGCTGACCCTACCAGACCAACCACTTGACACACACCAACCACTCGACACACACCAACCACTCGACACACACCAACAACTCAACACCACCCCACCAGATCTTACTACATACACCAACCATCCATCATGCGTGCCTCAATGCGATCTTTTGGTGACGATTTCGAGGCTGAGGTTTCTCTTCTAGTTGAATCTGGCCTGACAGACGCTGAAATCCGCAAACATATTCAAGACACGCACGGCATATCCGTCTCTAAACGAACACTCACACGAAGGAAGGAAGATTGGGGACTTATACTTCAAGCAACTGAACATTCCAATCAGCTTGAAGACCACATCCAAACCTACTTTGAACGAGGATTGTCATATTCACAAATCCACCATGCTCTAACAACAAGTCACGACTACACTCAATCTTTTCGAACACTCGAAAGGAAGATCAAATCCATGAACCTGACACGGCGAAC